TTATTCCATCTAAGGAAGGGGCTCCTAGTGGGACCACAGGGTCAGGAGAGCGCAGTTCCACTTCAGAGAGGCAGCAACATAGTCAGCATTATGCTTTTCAGAACATGGCTCAACCACATGGCCAATATCGTCAGCAGTTTTATCCTCCTCCATATGGGTATATGCCTCCACCACCACCACCACAGTACCAGCAATACCCTCCGCAATATCATGCCACAGTGCCGCCACCAACATCCTTGCCAATGAACCAACAGTACCAGCATTCTGGGACACCAGGGCCGGCACCCCCAGGTTCTACATCTTCGGGATCTGCATCATCATCGGGATCTGCACCTTCAAGTTCTGGACCTTCGGAATCTACTCCATCTGGATCCGGATCTGCACCAACGGGGTCATCACAGCAGTGACATTGCCCTCCTATTATTGTTTTAATACTGTCGGACGCGTGCTTTTGGTTATTCGAGTCAAAACTGGGCTTGCATTCTGGATTTCGGAAATTAATCTGTATCTTCCCAGGGTTTGCCCTTGTAAGCAAACATTCTGCACCTTTTGTGGATCAATCCTTTACTTTTTGTGTTTTTGGAGTTGACCTGATCTTTACATTGTTGCTTTGAGGTTAATCTGCGCATTTCATTTTTGCTTTGAGCATTTAAATTCGGGGCTTCTGAAGCATGATGCCATCATTCTTACAAAATATTGAAATTTCCTCTTTCCTCCTATCAGCCTATGAAATATAGGATCAAGTTGACCCTTGTTATGTTTTCTTCAACCATTTATTCTGAATGTGATTTTGAAACTGGTGAAGCATGTCACCAGCACGTAGACGTAGGCTTAGTCAAAATGGCTATTGCGCACGCTATACTCTGCATTCAAGTTTGAATCCTCTTTTCCGTAACTGAAACACACAGCTATGTTGCACTGATATTTCAAATTAGGATAAGGGTGAGTATCGGATACCTACACTCCCATGATACCCCAACGATACCTTCCGATATGTATCAGATACTCTATTTGGAGTTGTTGACTTTTTGTTGATTTCGGACACTGTGGATACGGTCAAGATACTTGATATAGGAATTTGGGTGATTGTACGTAGTTTCTAAATTCTGTTGTTCTTGTGGGTTTAGAGATGGTTGTAGCCCCATACGGTCAAGATAATCATCCCGGTCCTGAGAGAGGCAAGGACCAATCTCAAGATCAAAGACTAAACAATGTTCTATTTTGTTATGTTAAAAGATAAACATGAATTTTTGACTCTGTCATGATTTAAGTTATATAATGAAATATGGACATATAAATATATTTTAAAAATTACATTATTTTAATTGTCAGAGGTCGCACTTGGTGCGATGGCAAGTGCCTTCGCCCATGAGCGGTAGGTCTCGGGTTCGAGACTTGGGAGCAGCCTCTCCATAAATGGGGGTAAGGCTAGCCGACATTCACCTCTCCCAGACCCTGCGTAAAGCGGGAGCCTTGTGCACTGGGTACGACATTATTTTAATTGTCATATCCTTATATTATCGTATTCTTGTTATTAAGAATTATGCCGTATCGGCGTACCGTATCATACCAAATATCCCCCCGCCCTCATCTGTATCCATGCAACATAGAAACACAGCAATAGGAATTACCCTTTTTGAATCCCAGTGGAATTCCTGACCAGTCTTAAGAGACATTTCGACTTGCTAGACATGTTTGCTTGATCAATTTATGTTGCGAAGATTGATATTTCATGTGATTTTATGTGGTAAGTTTCATATGATTGTATCATAGAGTGTTAGGTACTCAAGCCCAAGGGAAGAGCCCAACCTAAAAGACTAGTCCAATAGGTGGGAGGACCCTAAGGACTTAAGAATCCGTACACTCCCCATAAGTGTAGTCGATGTGGGATCATAACATTACACCACCCTTCGGAAGACCCGACGCCCACGGCGGTAATCACGTCGCCCAGTCCCTCGTCACCAAGTCCCTTGGAGCCCATACTCCCAAGGCAGTAATCACGAGGCGGCACGTCACGTCACCAAGACCTGCAACGTCGGGCACCTAGGCTCTGATACCAATGTTAGAGATCAAACCTCCAGACCTGCTCAACCAAACCTTGCAGCTAGCAACAATGGGGAAAAGGGAATTGGAGAAGATAAGATGAAGCACAATTTTCAATTTCTGTATTGATTTCAACCACACATTGCAACTGAATTACAAAAGCATATATGCTTTGCAAATGCCAGATGGCGAAATGCAAAACAATCTAACAACTTATAAGTTCTATTACAATTTTGCCCTAAAAGTTAACATATTAACCCCAACATTTATTTAATATCAAAACTGATCTCAAACCATAACAATACTCCCCCCTTTCGACAAAACCTTGTCCACAAGGTTCAGACTTGGAAATCTGGAAACTTCATTGTAAAGGTTTCATAATCATCCCAGGTGGCTTCACTGTCATCATGATCAACCCATTGAATCAGCAATTGGACTCCTGCAACAGTGCCTTTCTTATACATCATGCGAGTTAGAACAGCCTTAGGAATAGCTTGGAACAAGCCATCATCAGTAACTTGTGGAAGAGTGGCACCATCAACCACATCAGTACACAATTTATTTTTAAGCTTGCTCACATGAAACACTGGATGTATTTTGGTACCCTCAGGGAGTTTCAATTTGTAGGCTACAACTCCAATCCTTTCTAATACTTCATAAGGTCCAAAGTAGCGAGGTTGAAGTTTATGATACTGGTGTGGTGCTAAGGACTGAAGCTGATATGGTACTAGTCGCAGGTAAACCAAGTCACCAACTTCAAACACCCTTTCGCTCCTTCTCTTGTCAGCTTGAACTTTCATCCGGTTTTGAGCCAAGTCAAGGTTATGCTTGAGTACATCCAGGATCCTATCCCTCTGTTGTAAGAGTTACTCCACTGATTCCACACGTGTAGACCCTTCTTCGTAAGGACAGATATGTGGAGGAGGGTAACCATAGACCACTTCAAAAGGGGTAAAGCCAGAAGAAGTGTGATAAGAGGTGTTAAAACACCATTCAGCCCAAGATAACCATTGCACCCATTTCTTCAATGGGCCTCTAACAAAACACCATAAGTAAGTCTCCAAGCATCTATTCAACACCTCTGATTGACCATCACTTTGTGGATGGTACCCCGAACTTATTGACAACTTAGATCCTTGCAATTTAAAAAATTCCTTCCAAAAATTGTTCAAAAAGATGGGATCGCGATCACTCACTATAGAGCTTGGCATGCCATAGAGCTTAAACACATTATCAATGAAGACTTGGGGGCCACTGTGGCAGCACTGTAGGGGTGAGCTAAAGCTATGAAATGGCTATATTTGGACAGCCGGTCGACTACCACCATTATGACAGACTTGGTTTTACAGAAAGGCAAGCCCACAATAAAGTTCATGCTTATAGCAGTCCACACCTTACTCGGAGTAGGTAGGGGTTGTAAGAGTCCAGGAGGAGACACTGTTTCAAATTTGTTTTGTTGACAAATACCACATTGAGACACAAAAGCTTGGATATCCTTATTCATACCCTGCCAATAATACCCTTTTTTGATCCGGTGATAAGTCTTTAAAATGCTCTGATGTCCAGCTGCACGAGTAGAATGATACTCCTCAATAATCTTCTGTCTCCATAGAGAAATCAGACTAAGTACAATTCGATGCTTGTAGCACAGAAACCCATTGTCCAGAGTATATTTGGATGCAACTGAAGCCCCTGGTGTACCGTGGGTGGGAGGGAGCACTTCCCTGGTCTTGGCAATTACCCATTCATCCTTCTCGATATCTTGCCGGAGCTCGTCTAACCACCCAAAGTAGGGGTAGGAAATGGCAGCACAACTCATCTCAATGGCAGAAACTGGAGGGTCATCAATATCAAATTGTAGTGTTTCAGGAATTCTCAAAAGAGCATCGGCCACCACATTATCATTGCCCTTCTTGTACTGTATCTCATAATCAAACCCAATGAGCTTAGAAACCCACTTCTGTTGGAAGGAAGTATTGGGCTGTTGACTAAGAAAATACTTAAGACGGTTGTGGTCAGTCCTTATGATGACGTGTTGCCCTTGTAAGTAATTTTGCCATTTCTTTATTGCATGAACTATGGCAATAAGTTCTCGCTCATAAGCAGAGAGGGCTTGGTTCTTTGGGCCTAAGGCTTTGCTTGTATAAGCTATGGGTCGTTTGCCTTGCTGTAGGACTGCCCCAATGCCATTCCCTGAGGCATCACATTCTATCTCAAAGGGCTGTGTAAAATCTGAAAGAGCTAATACTTGCGGAGACATCATAAGGGATTTAAGATGGTCAAATGCATCCTAGGCAGTGGCATCCCAAGTAAACTCGTCCCTCTTAGTTAAATTGTACAGCGGCTGACATATTTTTCCATAGCCAGGGATGAACTTCCTGTAATAGCCAGTAAGCCCAAGGAAACCCCTTAACCCTTTCACTGTCTTTGGAGGAGGCCAATCTTTGATAGCCTATAACTTAGATGGATCAGCTTGCACCCCATCTGGAGAGACTACATGGCCTAAATACTCCACACAATTCTGCCCAAAAGAACACTTAGAGTGTTTGAGAAATAATTGATTCTGTTGTAAAACCTGAAACACCAATTGCAAATGGTGCAAATGATCTGTCCATGTCTTACTGTAGACCAAAATGTCATAAAAAGACGAGAACAAATTTTCGCATAAAAGGTTTGAATAAATCATTCATGAGGTTTTGAAATGTGGCCGGAGCATTAGTAAGCCCAAAAGGCATTACTGAAAACTCATAGTGGCCCTCATGAGTACGGAATGCAGTTTTCTCAACATCTTCAAGACTCATTAGTATTTGATGATACCCGGATTGAAGATCAAGTTTAGAGAAGTAGACTGCACCAAAGAGCTCATCAAGTAAATCATCAATAAGTGGTATTGGATACTTGTCCTTCACAGTCAGTGCATTTAGCTCTTGATAATCAATACACATACGCCAAGTGCCCTATTTCTTCTTATCCAATAGGACATGGAAGGAAAAAGGACTGTGGCTGGGACGAATAAACCCCGAGTCAAGTAATTCTTGCACAGTTCTTTCAATTTCAGTCTTTTGCATATGACCATAATGATATGGCCGCAAATTTGGAGGTTTGGCGCATGGAACCAAAGGAATGTGGTGGTCATGACCCCGAGAATGTGGGAGCTTAGAAGGTAACACAAAGATGGCTTCGAAGGCCCCAAGTAACTCATTTAGTTCGTGTGATTGTTGAGGAGATAATGCAGAATGGTGCAAGAACTGACCCTCCATAGAATAGAGGAAGAGACCCAAATGAGAGTTAGAAAACTCTTTATCCAAGTGTTGCAATGAAACTTCCTGAATAAGTGGGGCAGTAGATGGGCTGTGAGTTAGTTTGTAGTGCTGAGCATTGGCAAAAAATTCCATGGTCAATAGTTGGACGTCCCAAAGAACAGGACTTACAGAAGACAACCACTGGACCTCAAACACCACGTCACAACCACCTAAAGGAAGAGAGTAGAAGTCAACTACACAATTGTACCCTCCCAAACAAAGGGCAGTGTCCCTACAACAACCCGAGCTCCGGACTATTCCTCCATCAGCGATCATAACCTCAAAGGCTTGAGTACTTTGTGCTTGGCGACCCCATTTCTTAAGCAACCGAAAATCAATGAAATTATGAATACTCTCTGAGTCCAATAAAATCTTGATAGATTGTCCAAGAACCACACCATCAACCTTCATAGTTTGAACAGACTGTTTAGCAGTTGTTCCATAAAAAGCACACTCACTTAAGAACATTGCCAATAACTCAGGAGAAGCATCATCAACATCAGTGAATTTACAATGAGCATTAGAATCAATAACATCCAACATGAGTAATTGTTTGAGGCCACATTTATGCCCCGGAATCCATTTATCAAGACAAAACCAGCAATCTCCTTTGTCACTTTTCAATTGAATCTCGGCATGAGTCAATTTCTTAACAGGCACAGGACCAGCTCGAGGACCCGCAAGGGCAGAAGGAGGAAGAAGTAGCGGTTGAGGTTTAACAGGGATAGAAGTTCGAGGTGCAGTTGTTCTGAGCTCAATAAGTTTAGAGTCTAATTGCCCAGAAATAGAGATAGCCTCATGTACAGTTGCCGGTTTCAAAAGCTTAACATCAAACTTCAATTCACGTTTTAATCCCCCAAAAAAACAGCTCTTAAGTAGAATAGGCTCAATTCCAGTGGTACGATTGGCTAATCTACGAAATTCCACAACGTAATCGCGAAGGGTACCTGTTTGCCTCAATTTGAATAATGCCTCAGCATTATTCTCGAACTCATTTGGGCCAAATTCCCTACAAAAAACCTTAGTGAACGCCAACCAGTCCGGAGTAGATGTGAGACAATCCATCCATTGAAACCACTGCAATGTTTCCCCTTCTAGATGAAAGGATGCAGTGAGCACACGTTGGTGCTCCGGAATGTTGTAGAATGTGAAAAACTGCTCCACTTTGTAGATCCAGGCGAGTGGGTCATCACTGTCAGAAAAACGAGGAAAATCCACCCGCTGTGTCCACTGAGTTCTATGAGGATGCCCCCCACCCAGCCAATTGAGGTGCCGATGAGGTGGATGTAGATCCAAATCAGGAGGAAGTGGAGGAGGTGGAATGGGTTGAGGCATAGAAGTGTCACCGACGCCTTGAAAAGAAAACTCACATGGAAACTGCTCAAAGTACACCGGAATGCGACGATCGAGATGAGCGGGAAGATTGGACTCCAAAGCAGAGTGCACATAAGTCTTCACCACATCGGCGATGATAGATTGAAGATCTGCAAAAGAAGCTTCCAGAGAAGAGAGACGAGCGTCCATGGTAGCAGAACGGGTAGCAGCGGGTTTACGGGGCATACACGGAGGGACCAGGATCGAAAGGTGATACCAATGTTAGGTACTCAAGCCCAAGGGAAGAGCCCAACCCAAAAGACTAGTCCAATAGGTGGGAGGACCTCAAGGACTTAAGAACCTCTACACTCCCATAAGTGTAGTCAATGTGGGATCATAACATTACACCACCCTTCGGAAGACTCGACGCCCACGGCGGTAATCACGTCGCCCAGTCCCTCGTCACTAAGTCCCTTGGAGCCCATACTCCTAAGGCGGTAATCACGATGCGGCATGTCACGTCACCAAGACCCGCATCGTTGGGCACCTAGGCTCTGATACCAATGTTAGAGATCAAACCTCTAGACCTGCTCAACCAAACCTTGCAGCTAGCAACAATGGGGAAAAGGGAATTGGAGAAGATAAAATGAAGCACAATTCTCAATTTCTGTATTGATTTCAACTACACATTGCAACTGAATTACAAAAGCATATATGCTTTGCGAATGCCAGATGGCGAAATGCAAAACAATCTAACAACTTATAAGTTCTATTACAATTTTGCCCCAAAAGTTAACATATTAACCCCAACATTTATTTAATATCAAAACTGATCTCAAACCATAACATAGAGCAATTGTTGTACAGCCTGTTAGAGACATTTCGACTTGCTAGACATGTCTGCTTGTTAATCTCATATGCAGTGGAGCGCCCAATGGCGCTCACCTGAGATAGAGATGGGCTCGGGGTTGGATTAGAACTGAAATTTGTTGTTTTTGGAGAAGAATGAGGAGAGCTCGAAGAAGAAAAAGAAGATAGGAGTTGGGAGAGGTGGTTGAGTCGTTGTGCCAATTTTTTCACTCTATTTTTAAGGAGAGATAATTTAGAAATTTTGTACATTTACATGGGTGTTTAGAAAAATATTAACTGTGGGTGTCCAAAGAACCACTCTAACATTAATAACTTGGGCGTTCAAATATCTCACTTTTTATGAATATTGTATCTTTGTCGGATAAATTTCATTACAAGAAACGCTCAATTTCTTAATTTTTATTTGAAGATCATCTATGCCAAAAGTAGTTGTAATGGAAGATCGTTTGGTCATCTAAAAGTATCAAATAAATAGACATTATTGTCAATTTATTCTATACAATTGAATGCACCAATGATATGTGATTTGAATTATATTTTATAAGAATGATCTTGAATCAAGATTAAAAAATTGAGCGTTTGTTATTATGTAATTTGTATGGTAAAATGCATTATTCTAAAGGAGTAGGATATGCGCATTCTACTCGTGAGACATTCATGTATTGTCTCCTCGAAAAATGTAATTATGCACTTTACTTTGTATAAACTTATTTTTTTATTTGCTATATTTTTATAAATTTGAAGTGCTTCATGATTTTTTTAAAGGAGTTTTAACAAAACACTCCCGGTACTGTTCACTTTTAACGAAAAATCACATTTATACCTTTCCTTGGTACTATTTACTATACCTTTAAAAATGATTTTTCATTAAAAGAGAAATTTTTTTGAACTTTTCGTTAGTTTTCTTTATTTTTAAAGTGATAATAATAATTTTTATAAAATATAATATTAATAGTACTATAGAGAGGGACAATTTGCTAGGGTTTTGAGACATGCAGAGAGAGAGAGAGAGAGAGAGAGAGGGCGCCGGACAGACACATGCAAGGCGTGCTGATTAAGAGGAAGCGCGGCGGAAAGAATATATAGTACAAGGACCACAATATCAATATGTCAATAACTACAACTACAACATCATGCGTTGTACTAGTACTAAGTGTTCTTTGCGTGTTTAATTCGAGAACAAACAATATATAATTATTTTCTTAATTTTGATAAATACATATTTAAAAATGAAGTGAAAGAGAAGCACGTGAAACTGCAGCACAAGCAGCAGCAGCAGCAGCACAGGAGGAAGCAGCAGGCTCATGATGGATGGTGATTCTCAATGTAAACTAAAACTCGGAACAGACTTATATGGTATTGGTATACTATTACAGTAGTACCTTGCATCAATCAAATAAAGATGTATAAGTTTTGGCTGTATATTCTTATTATTAACACAAAGAGTCACAAAAAGTATACTCGTATTATGTAAGCTGTTTTTTTTTAAATCTCAAAATGCTGCGTGCGTGAATGTGTAAGTGTGTTTACGTGTAGTTCGAGGCGTATACAGTGGCGGATCCAGGAAATAATGTTTGGGGGGTTAATAAGGATAGCGCGTAGCGCGCAAATTTTTTTTAACAGAAACGGCATGCATATCGTCTGGTATCGAAGGCCATTCGATCCCAATACAACTTTGATTGGAGAAGGCTCATGGGATGCAGAGACAAATCAACTGTCTTGTGTTGCATTCTGCTTGCTTTACTACTCGAACATGTTCTCATTTTCTTGTGTCACCGAAGACATGGTAATGGAGATTTCTCCCTTGTTTTTCTCGGGCAGGGTGAAAAGTCATCCAAGATTTCGACCGACTCATCATCTTCATAATCTGTTTCTTCCTCCTCAGGTATTGTTGGATCGTCTTGTACTTCATCAGAATCTCTACTAATATCATCATTAGAATCATCATCATGTTTATCAGTTTCTTCCAACTTGGGCATTACTAGTGATTTATCCCTTGATTTTCTCGGGCACAGATCATCCAAGATTTCGACAGATTTATCATCATGGTCTTCATAACCAGTTTCCAAATTCAAGCCTCCCCTGCATTCTTTTCCAGCATAAGGATCGTGAGAGCTAGACGTGCCAATTTCCCACTTTTCCTGATCCATAGCTCTAGCTCCTTTGGCATGGCCGCCTTCCCAACAATAAAAATGAAAATAACAAATCATGAAAAACACAATACTCGTGTTGGTGATTGTTCAACAAGAATTACCTTGAGGTTTCCTGCAGTATGGACAATCGGGAAGACCAGTAGCATGGCAGGGGTTCTTTCAGACCTTTCGTCGAACACTTGGTGTGCAGCCAAGGGGTCTCACCAGCAACTCCAAGAGGTCGCACCAGCAGCTCCAAGGGGTCTCTAAGGTTGTTTCCATGGCTTCCAAGGGGTCATGCGACCCCATTGACCCCACTGTGGATCCGCCTCTGGGCGTATAGAAGCACTGATCATCACAAGCTTACAATTATTCCGATCCGGGATTTAAATTCTCTCATTTCCTCTTTTCATTCCTTTCTATTCATTTCTTTCACACTCTCTATTTTATCTTTCTTTTTCTATAAAAAATTAATATAAAATATTGACGTGACTTAACCATGACCATTCAAATAAAAGAGGAGGAAAGAGAAAGAAAAAAGAGAGTATATAGAATCCTACTTCCTCAACTCCTTGCTATCACTTACTTTCATTAATTTTTTTGACCTAATGTCAATATCAAAGGAAAAGGATCCTCATCCGATCATTTTCCTAGGGATCTTAAGAATTCCGTACTCGTGTCCGTTCATCATACATCATGCGGTCAGAAGAAATCATTTAAAATTTAAAATTCAAATATAAATAGTACCTAACGAAAAATGACTGTACGATGTACGATGAACGAACACGATTGCAAAATCCCTAGGATCCCTAGGAAAAGGATCCGGCGCGAGGATAGATCTATACCCAATATCAAGGGTGGATCCAGTTTACTTTTCTTTCTTAATGATTTTGTGGTAGATCTATACCCTAGTAGGAAAGTGTGGTCGGTCGATCATGCGACTACACAACAGTGTCCACATACGATACAAATTCTATATTGCAAAAGTAATGAAGTGAATTCTAACAATATTTACAATCGCATCCTCGTAATAAACGTGTTAATTTACTTGTTATAATTTGAAGTTTTACATGAAAATATACATCTATTCGCAAAGAGATGTGATCTAAAAAAATGGAATTGATTTGTTTATAACGAAGAAATAAATACTTCAATATATGAACCATATATAATGAACGTATAAAAAAGTGCAACCCTTGAATAAGGGTTACATTGATCTCTTTAAGGGCGGAGCTAGAAAAGTTATACATGGATGTGCGAATTTTAATTTTCTGTTTGAGGCAGGCTAATTTTATCAAAGAAGGCTGGACTAGTTTTGAATTAGACAACATTGGCATTTAAAATTACATGTTTTTTTCTTTTTTCAAATTCCAAAATTTACCTTAGGGTATAGCCCACCTTATTCGTTTTCTCTTTGTAAGTGTTACAACCATTCAATACATGTTGAAATGTATTATTTGCTTGTTTATAAATAGGTTTGCAGTCAAACATATTGCTTTCATTCCAATTCCATGATTTGAGAGTCTATATAAGAGAGATTTTTTTGTGTGATGACGGGACTGAAAACAACTGTCATCACAAGAGATCCTACTTGCTTTACAATTATACAAAACAAGTTGTATAAATCATGGTTGATTTACGTATATTAGCTAATAAGGTATGATTAATCAGTCGATCAAACGGCTATAACCCGCTTGCATACAATACAAAATTTATATAGTATAGAAAAATCTTAATACTGTTATGATCAACGGTATTTGTTTGTGCAAGAGTACATAATACAGACAGACCCAAGCACAGGCACCACCGTCCATGTAAATAGTATAAAGAAAAGTTAGAAGAGGGTTGGAGTAGAATCTAACCGTGAGACAGATAGAAACATACAAACAGGACGGGGCAAGCAAATTAAACCACAACAGAGGAGGGAAAGGAGGTCGACTCTGATCACTGCACAAAACCAAAGGCTCAACATTTCTGACACCAGGATTCCCACACTTGTTGCTTCCAACACTCTACGATAAAGTTTTATTTATTTATTTCCACTTTTAATATATGGGGTTTCTCTCCTTTTTCCTCTTTTCTTTTTTCTTTGTTTACCAACTTCTCCATACAAGGAAAGTGAAGCCTTGAAAGGAAGAAAATTCTTGCAGCCTTCCCTAGACATAGAAAGATAGATCGCTCTCCTTTCATCACCCCACACCCCCACTTCACCTTTTTTGACTACTCTCTCTCTCTCTCTCTCTCAATAATACATGCATTTTTGTTGCTTTCCAAGTGGGCAAATGGGGGTGTTCCATGTTCTAATTAGGTAGCAACATCTGAAAATTCATTTTTCTCATCCCTAGCTAGCTAGCATTCGTTTTGATTGTGTCTTTTACAATAATTATATATTCTTAGTTTAATTTTTAGCTATATTTTATATGTTTTTGTTTAATGTTACCAATGGCATGTTCTAGATTAACATTTGTCCTTATGGTTTAACTTTTGTGATAGTCTTGTATACTGAAGAAGCATATATATGTAGAAGAGGAAGAGTAGTGTTCCTGCTTTCTGTGCCCTATGCCAAGTATCACACTGGCTTATTACTAATTTTGAATTCTAGTTCTAGTATATTGTTTAGACAGACAACAATTGGTCAGATTGCAGGATTTATTAAGTTCATGAGCACAAGTTTTTCATACTTATATTTAGCGGACGGTGAACTGAACTAATTATATATATATATAGCTTGGCCACGTTCATTTCAAAGGGATTTAACTTGAAAAACGTACATGCAAGACCTTAATTAGAAGCACGAAGCCAAGAAAGATAGCTGGAACAGTAGTATCAAAAAATGAAATCACTCTTCTTGTCGCTTTTGCACAACGGAATCACTGTAGTAGAATATATAGGAACGTCCTCTCGTATGAACACGTACATTTTGCAAGAACTGTCTCTTATATCTGTTCATACTTTTGGAATTATCGCTTGAAGGTGCATGTAAAGATGCTTTTTATGTGAATGCCCCAATTCGTGTCCCCTTTTAGCTAGAGCTTAGATGGGTTTGCTCATGATTTTTAAGTCAACAAATCCCAGTTAACATTCTAATTAATGAGAAATAAAAATGGTTTTTCTTTGTTCTTTATTTCTGTTTTTCAAGGAGATTATATATTTGTTTCAAGACAAAATAATTAATTTGTCACCAGCTGTGAGAACACTATCTTCGTTTACAAGTGTTTTGTGTAGGTAATATTCTAGATTTTTATTCTTTCTGTCAAGTAGATCATATATTAGATTAAATTACCAAAATAATATTTTCTTTTAGGTCAACATTACCAAATACAATATTTAAAGACTAGCTAGTTATATAATATGTTACCCCAGCTAGGAGAATATTTCGGTGACTCTAACTTTGAGAAATATTAAGGAGACTTTTTAAAAAATGAGATTCTTCATAGACTCTTTGTCGTCTTACGGTTTAATATTAATTCTCCTGCCAACATTATAAAACATTGTATAAAAAATATGAAGTAGCAGAGAGTTCATAAAAAATTCAACTTTTGAGAGAATCTTCTTATTAATATTTCTCCTATAACTTTTCCATGGAAAGAACCAATCGAGTTTTCTAGAAAAAAGTTTCCATGAAATAGCCAATGAGTTTGCTACAAATTAAAGTTAGTTCATGATATGTTTCCAAATTATTTAGATTGTTAGAATCAAATCTTATCTTTGTCAGAGTTTGAAAGCTCTATGCCGAGGAATCGCTTTCCTCATTTTATAGGGAGATTATTTCATTTCCTTTAAAATAATTAATCATCTCCTTCCTTCCAACTAATATACAAGGAACTTTATAAGGAATGTGTGGTTTCAATTCTTGTAGTTACTACCAATTAAGAATTTAGAACGAATGAGTATGATTCTCGTTTATTTGTTTACTATCAACTAATGAATGAGAAAAATAAATATATTTGGGTATCTCATATCATACACGAAAAGTTAAGATATGTAATTAACATAAGTTTTTTATTTTATTTTTATCCCTATTCAATTCTTCATATTCTCATTTCTTTGGATTCTTATTCATTTGCATGATATATTCACATTTCCTAAGTTGAATTTTAACCATGGTTCTTTCGTGTTTTTTTTTGTTTTTGTTTTTTTGGTGACGGCCACTAACAATAACCCTAAAAAGGTTATAGAACAAAACAAGAAAATATTTTCTTGAAAAGCACGGTTTTCTTCGTGCTCATGTTCATGATGGTTATCTACAATCCACATCAATGGTAATATCAGGTGATTACCAAAAAAATAAATAAATAAATCAGGTAACCAAATAAAAGATTAAAAGGCAATCCTTTCCTCTTTCAACGCTTGGTCCTTTCGAATGGTCGCTTCATGGTTCGTCTACTAGTGGATAACATACAAAGCTATCTTGGACTACTCTGTTAATAATTACTTTCTTCTACTGTCTTATTTTAAAATATATATACACATTGGTTGGACAATGCTAGCTATTATTGGCATTTCCAATTCTAGTTTCTTGCATTTCAAAATGGGTATTTGTAGGTATAGTTTCAATATTGCACTCATAATGCAAGTTAGAAGGTAGCAGAGAAGTGTGAATAGTAATTAATTAAGGAAAATTCTACCTACTCTTTAATAAAAATTAGGATTTTTATCATAAATGGTTCCTGAAATTGACCCTAATCATCAAGATGGTTCTTAAAATTGAAAATCAATCAATGTAGTTTCTAAAAATAGGTGTCTCAAATCCATGTCATCCTTCCGTCACAATCCTATTAAAAATTGTGTTAACTGCTGATGTGACACATAAATGGGCACCATAAGTCTTTTTTTCTTCTCACAAATGGTCCTTGAATTTGACATGATGGTCCACTACATTAAAACGGTCCTTGAAATTGACCCGCGACATCAAAATAGTCCCTAAAATTGAAAATTGATCAATGTAGTCCGCAAGTAAGTGTTTCAAATCAATGTAGTCATTCCGTCACAATTTTGTCAAAAAATTTATTATGTGCTGATGTGACACATAAATGAGTCACACAAGTCTAATTAAATTAAAAAAAATTACAAATAGGCTTAATAATGTAATAGTTAATAAAAAATTGTTAACCCAAAAATCCAGTCCTACAATCACCTCCAATCCCAGTCCACATTTCTCTACCTCTTTCACTCTCTATTCTCTAAAGAAAATCTCAATGCACCCATCTTTACACACTTCGACATCTTTCACTGAATTGAACCTTGATCGAGATCACCTTTGGTGACAGCTTGGCCTGTTGGCAACGACTTATGGGACATCACCATTAACATTTAGGCAATTAACATCTTCACAACCTTAATCTTGGAGAGTTTGTTTGACGCTTCCTTGGTGGCTTGGTGATGCAAAGAACGACAAGATCTGCCTTGAGATAATGAGGTTATAACCGACGTGTGTCTATTGTTGGTTGACAACTATTTCCACACCCCTTCTTAGGCCTTGGTTAAGCCTTATGCCTTTGAGAATTTATGGAAGAGATCTCTCTTTGGAGTAGGCTCTACTATAAGAAGAAAAAAATTTCATTGTGCAAAAAGGTATTTAGACAATTTTTTAATTAATTATTAAACCCACATCAGCATATAACAATTTATTTTACATAATTGTGGCAGAAGGATCATATTGATTTGCGACACCTATTTTCAAGGACTACAATGATTGATTTTCAATTTTG